TGGATGCTGCGTTTTGTGGTCCCGATGTATACTTGCCCGCAACTGCATGGTATGCGGTATACTCCTGCGGCGGTGAAGGGATCCCTTTTGTCTTTTAAATTTAAAGAGAATTTCATTCTCTTTAAAAGAATTTCAGAATTTAAAAGAATTTCAGAACCAAATTCTCTGTCATCAGATTGAATGACAACAGTCAGGGAAAGAAAAGGCAGGATTATTTTTCTCTGCTTGGCACTATATTCAGGTAAATACTGGCAACTGAGAAGATATTAAGCGAGTTGCCGCATCCTCATGTAAAGAAGATTCTGGGATCAATTTAAACCTCTTTGAAAAGTTCTGACAGCAAACTACATTTATTCAGAATTTGTATTTGACAGGTATCATGTCTTTTGATAGGAAGAAGATCTCAAGCCATCTTTCCTTGCCTTACTACCTGAAGGAAAATTTATGTTATTTATTTTTATTTATTAAATTTATCTCTGCCCATCTCCCCCTAATGGGGGACTCTGGGTGGCTCACAACTCATTAAAACAATAGATATACAGTTACATAAAACCTAAAATCTGTACAAAGCAATTACTAAAAAAGGAAGAGTCCAAGAGGCCAATAAAGAATTACAATAAATGATAAAGAATTACAATAAAAAGCATCTTAAATAGGAATGCCTGTTGTACCCATTCAGCCAACTCTGGCAATCAACCAACATTGAGTAAACAGTATAAATTAAAATAAAAATGCCACTGTTTTGCTAGCTCTCTGAAAAAGAAAACGTGTTGAAGTTTCAAAAAACCAAAAGGGCTGATTGTCTGGACCATGGTAGGCAAAAAATTCTGTGAGGAGCTGGAGAATTGGAAAGCTTTTTGAATACAAAAGAAAGAGGGAAGAAACAAAAACTGAGGGTGTTATTCTCTGTTACAAAAATTACAGTCATGAAATTAGTCAGCTCTCGCACAGGTGGGGAGTCTCTACTTAACAACTGTTTGTTTCAGGTCCTCTGACAGTCAGGAATCCCAAGAACAGATGAATGGTTCTTTGGGAACAGCAATGACAGTGAACTTCACCAGATCAAGCTGATCAAAGAGACTCCATCAAAGAAAGACCCTTCAAACGATTTGGTAATACTTTGGTGGGAGAGATTTGACATAACCTTGCAAAAACCTGACAGATGTCAATGTGTCCTTAAGAGGAGTACTGAGCAGAACATCCAGAAACTATGTAACCACAGTGTAATATTGGATCACTATGTTTGAATTTTTTGAGTCATCAATATAGCTCTATGCCAGGTTTCCAATTTAGGTCCAGATGTGTTGGACTACAAGTCCTATCATCTATTACTACTCATGCTGCTTAGCAATGAAAAGAACTGTGGTCCCACACATCTGGGAACATCTGGTTGGTGAAAACTGTTCTGTATCATTCTGCAGAGTAATTTCAGTTCTCAAGGGACACATAACTCTGTTTTTCGTTTTGTTTCTACAGGAAAAGAAATGGAAATGGAAGAATTGTTATTTTTTGCTCTCTGATGCCTTTGGAATCACAAACACCACCAAAAAACAAAAAAACACTCAACTAGAAAGTTAAACAGCAACTTTAAAGACTTATTACAAAGATCCACTGTTGCATAAATGTGGATAAACACAGGGTATAAGATCCAAAACCAAATCATCTTGGGTTCACATTTCATATCTTCATAAAAGAATATTGTATTGAAAAACTATCCATATAATTTTCATGTATGTCAAGAACCAGTCAATCAAGCCATGAATATTTTCATATGTCTGACATGGTTTTCTGTTACGCTGGCTGAAGATTTGGTAGGAGGGCTTGGCCCCAAAGATCTCAACTCTGGGGACACCCCTGCAGAGGAATGTGATAAAGCTGTTAGGAAGCACCTCCAACATGGGGGACAGAATACATCACTAAAAAAGGGAACCAAGGGAAAAGCTGAGCTGTATACAGTTTGCACATACTAATTTATAAGTATGGTTTAAATAGAAGTATCCTCATGTTGGTATGAGCTGATGACCAATGTCACTTCAGTACACTGTCCAGAAGCTACTTATCTGATCCAACGAACCAGGAATATCTATTGAGGTTCTTTAAACTGGACTTGGAATGGACCCTCCTTGGGCTGAGAGATGCCTGCAAATAGTGGTCTGTGCCCTTCTTTCATATTGAGAAGCAATAGCTTTTTTCCCTTGCTCTTTTCATTATTAAGTCATTTGGAGTGGGCAGATAAATAGTCAAGAGCAAGAAGGAGGAGAAATAATTGTAAGCTATGTGTCTCCAAAATTGGCAGTGGGACCCCAGTGGTTTTCATGGGCTTTGGCAGATGCACTATGATACTGATGATCCCATATTCTAACTATAATTTTTTGTTTCTAAAAACGGAGTGGATAATTTTCTCAGCACTGTTTTTGAATCTTATTGAGCAGTGTGTGTGTGTCTGTGTGTGTCTGTGTATACACAGACACAAATTCACACACACATAATACAGAGTAATAAATAGACATTAAAAATGGATGAAGAGAGAAAACTACATTCCTTTAAAACAAAAAACAAAACCTAAAATTCTTTGGGTAGAAGAAGAGATGCCCTAAAACCCATTCTGTAAGGAACTTCACATAAGGATGAACTTTCATATTTACTTGATACATCCCAAATGCATATCTTATTTATTCATTTCCTATGCAGCAAAAATATTTTTCTTTAAAACAAATGGTTTTGTTTGATATGGCTTTTATTGGTTCCTTCAAGTCAGGAAATATCTGACTCTTTGGAATAAATTGTGCCTACTCAAAATCTTACATTATTTATCTGATCCATAGCCTTAGGTAGAAAAAACATGCTTTTCCTACTTGAATCTATGCCTGGTTTAATTCTGCCTAGAATGTGATATCACATGGAATAACCACATAAATTTACCAGGTATCTTGAGGTCCATTGTTTCTCAGCCAGAGTAAGAAGTACACCTGCAATAACAGCCTGTAGACAGAAGGGAAAACATATGTATATATGTCATAAAGTGAACGACGTTAATAGTCCTTTGTTCTCTCTGCAGTATTTTGCAAAACAGACTTTAAAAAAAAAAATAGCACAAGGAAGCAAATTTACTAACATCAGAAGAACTTTGTACACCATGCACATGCAGGATTTGCTATAGAATCCTCCCTTCTATTTTTTTTAACTCTTGTATGTTTATTTTATCTAATAACTGAGGTTTAGGTAGGTCCCTATTAAACCATAATTATATAGAGATGATATTTGAAGTCTATAATGACTCCCAGTAATTATTCCAATGGGATATCATGGAGTAAGGAATCATGTGACAGCTTACTCATGCATTTTTCCCTTCAGCTCAATGCCTCCTGCAGATCTGACTCATAAACTCTCTTAGTTTGAGTTCTAAATTCCTGCAACAGTATAAAATAGTTAGCGAGAGCTAATGAATTTTCAGTATGTTGAGTATTCATTAAGTCTGGGGTCTTGCTGATCCCAAAATGGGAGAATAAATAGAGAATGAAATAAGAGATCAGGAGCAGCAACTGCTCAGTTTTAGAAATTTTTGCTATAGGAGTGTAGCCTTTCTAGAAAGAGAGACAAATTTGAAAATGACTGGCCAATGTTTGGGTAAATCTCCAAAGACAACCCCCTGTCTTTGTATCATGAGTTTAATAAGAATGAAGGAATGAGATTCTCAGAAATTTGCATCTATCTGAAAGTGGTTAAGCTGAAAACAATGATTATGGAAAGGTATAATAATAATTAGCCAACTAATTTGCCAAGAGGAAGAGTTTATTGCAAGTCATAATACCATAGTATTGTCCAAAACAATTGATGATACAAGAGAAATGATAATTTAATGGCATATGTTAGATTTCCCTTCTTGCAGTCTAGAGAGGAAGGAGTTAATCAAGTGAATAAGAATCTGAGAGTTCTGATTAGTATTTATTAAAAAGAAATTTAGGGATACAACACAATATTTCCAGTGAGTATTGTACTTTCAATGAAAACCCACATATAGGCTATCTATGGCGGCAAGATGCAGAGGGACAAAATTCATGGCAGCACAGTATGCATTTGCTCACTGTTTTGGTAAATGGTAAATAATATAAATCCTTTTATATTAGGAGAACTAATCCTCAAAGTAAGTGCAATCTTAGCAAAGTAAGTACCTGTCAGATTGTTGAATTCTGGGAGTGCAGTCTCAGTTCATTAGCCAGGCAGGAGAAAGGGAGTGTGTTATATCTTCTTTCTTAAATATATGGACTTGAATGATGGAATACTGTAAGATCATGTCATCCATCTCCCTTGTAATAATACAAAGAATAAAGTGGGGAAAGAGATGCAGGTTTGCTATTCTTGGCAATCTCAAGGTCATATTTATTTCTACTTTGAAAATGTGGCTACGCAACAGCATGATAACTACTTGACATTGTCCAACTTGTGAATGTCAAGAATAACCCACAGGATTCTCCCTGTGGACAGCATGCAACAAGCAGAGAATTATCATCATTTCTATTTAGGTTCTGATGACTGAAAGCATGATGGGATAAAAAAAAATGGCTGAGATTGATTGAAAGTCTGAAATGATATTGGCTTTCCTTATCATTGCAATGATCTACATTGCAAGAGAAAGGGAATGAACTGTAGTCAGCCCAACATGAAGAAAAAAAAAACCCATACTGTAGGAACTTTCTTTTATCCACTTTCCAGAAAGTGGGGGAACTCTATTTTGAAGCTGATGATATTATTTCTGTGATCAGTGATGACAGGTGTCGCTTATTAAATTCTCCTTTCGTTACAAAGGGATGAAGCCTTGCTTGCATTGAATATCTCCCTCCCATTGAATTCATTCAATCCTATATATTTCATGCTCCTATTTGAACCATTTGCTTACATCTTCTCTAGAATAAAGAGTTCGCAACATATAACTGAAGACAAAATAACTCAATCAGTTCAATAGTTGTTTTTTTAATGGTAGCCGAGCTCAGGAAAGCTGGTGTGGAGTTGTTGCATTGTTGCTATGAGTGAGAGCCTGAAAACACTCAGTGTAAATATCATCCCATTCATGCATTTACTAAGAGTGTTAAGCTTTAAGCTGGCATCCATCTCTTGGCTCCAAAGATCTTTTCACACATTATTTTGGGTCAGGATTCAAAAGGGCACCTGTTGTTCTAGCTTCTGATCTTCATGGATTCAGCTGAAAGTGGAAATACAATCCAGATATGTGGTCTTTGTATGCACACATGTTATCTCCCCAAGATATATGCAGAGGAGATACAAGTTCAAGAGTGGAACTACCATCAGCCATCTTCTCTACATGGATGACATCAAGCTGCATGCTAAGAATGAACGAGACATCGACTCGCTGATCCATCTGACACAGATCTACAGTGAGGACATTGGGATGTCATTCAGACTGGAGAAGTGTAGCCGGATGGTAGTAAAGAGAGAGAAGGTAGTTAAGACTGATGTGGTGGAACTACCACTGGGCCGCATAGCAGACATACAGACCAGCTACAAGTACCTTGGTATCCCACAGCCACATGGGAACCCTGCTGAGGAGGCAAGAAAGATGGCAACATCCAAGTACCATCAAAGGATAAGACAGGTCCTGAAGAGCCAGCTCAATGGGAAGAACAAGATCAAGCATCAACACGTATGCCCTGCCAGTCATCAGATACCCTGCCAGTATAGTGAGCTGGCTAAATGAGGACATGGAGGCTGCCGATGTGAAGACCCAGAAGCTCCTCACAATGTCCAGAGGTTTCCACCCCAGGTTCAACACCCAGAGATTGTACACCTGCTGGAAAGAGGGCAGGCGGGGTCTGGTGAGTGTCAAAGCCACTGTCCTGGATGAAACCCAGAGCATCCAGGAATACAGTCCATCAGTAAGACGGCATCCAAAGATGAGCTGCTGAGAGAATGCCTGAGGCAGCAGCAGACATGGGAGGAACTTCAATCAGAGGAAGTGCCATGGCAAGATAAGACCCTGCATGGAATGTACCATTGACAGCTGAGATGGCTGACATTGGGAAATCCTACCAGTGGCTGGAAAGGGCTGGAGTAAAAGACAGCACTGAGGCACTGATCGTAACAGCACAAGAACAGGCACTAAGCACCAGATCTATAGAAACAGGGGTCTACCACACTAGACAGGACCAAAGAGAGGCTTCAGAGGCAGTCCAACACGTAATGGCAGGGTGTAAGATGCAGGCAGGAACAGCATACAATGAATGGCACAACCAAGTAGCTGGCATTGTATACAGGAATATCTGCAGTGTATGGGCTAGACCCTCCCAAGTCCAGATGGGAGTTCCACAGAAAGTCATGGAAAATAACAGGACTAAGATCCTGTGGGACTTCCAGATTCAGATGGACAGAGAGGTACTGGCCTATCAACCAGACATCATGGTAGTAGACAAAGGCCAGAAGATAGCAGTGGCAATAGAAGTAGCGGTGCCAAATGACAGCAAAATCAGGAAGAAGGAGTATGAGAAGCTGGAGAAGTACCAGGGCCTGAAGGAGGAACTAGAGAGAATTTGGAAAGTAAAGGCCAAAGTGGTCCCAGTGGTGGTAGGAGCACTCGGGGTTGTGACTCCTAAGCTGGGAGAGTGGCTCCCACATATCCCAGGAACAACATCTGAGCTCTCTGTCCAGAAGAGAGCAGTGCTAGGAACAGCCAAAATACTGTGCAGAACCCTCAAACTCCCAGGCCTCTGGTAGAGGACCTGAGATTGAGGAAGGCACATAGTACCCATAGGGGTGAAAGGGGATTATATGTGTGTGTGTGCACGTGTGCATGTATATGTATATATATACACAGACACACATATACATATACATATATACACACGCACACTCACACATACACACACACTAACACACATATATATACACACAGCCACAGCAGCTGGCAGTCCTTACCCGACCTTGGCTGATCATGAAATAATTAGGTGATTAGTTGGATGGAAGACCAACACAAAACCTCAACAGCCCATACCCCCATCACTACCTCACTGCAAAATACCATTATTTTTGCCAAGAAAATTACATGGACTATGCTATAGTTCTCAGGAGGTAAAAGGAACCTGATGGAGTTTTTATCTACCTTTTTTACATGCATCCCAACCAGACGAAATGCAGTAATAAAGAAAAATGTAAAAGAGGGCTTAGATCTGCTTCTAATTGCTGTGACTTGATTTATATGCGCAAATAATTGCAGCAGTAGAAATAGAAACATGAGGAAGGAACATGAGTTGAGGTTCCATTTAACATATGTCTTTCAAAACCTGAAAGATTCTGACCAATGGCCTATATGTGCACTGTCCAAATACTATTTTAAAAGTCTTTCTGCCTCTGCTGAGCACTGTTTAGTTTTAAAATGGTCTTGGTCAAGACAATGCTTCCAGTCAGGGAGGCCTGCAGGGGAGTCAAAAAAGTCAGGATGGCAGCTACAACCATGAGCTCCACCCTTTTTTACATGCATCAAAATCTTCACCCAACATGCAGCTAAACTGTGGAATTTGCTGTCACAAGATACAGTGTGGGCTGCTCCTAAGGTTGATTTTAAAAGAGGATTAGAGAAATTTGTTACCATTTTCAATTACCTATAGTCGTGATGACAATATATTATCTTTAATAACAGATACAAACCACGGGTTAATATCAGTTGCTAAGGAACATGAGTTGAGGTTCCATTTAACATATGTCCTGCTTATATGTTACCCATTTAGCATCTAGCTGACCATTGCAGAGACAACTTGCTAATCTAGGTGGGTCCTTGATCTTCTTCAGAACTTCTTACAATCTTACAAACAAAAACTGCTTTAAAAAAAAGATGCAACTGAATTAAGTCATAGGCATCCTTCTGCTCAATTACTGAACTACATGGAGAAGGCAAAGATCTTCATCTATCAACAGATAAAAGCACAGATACTTAACTTTTCCCACTTCTTGAGAAAGCACATTTCCTAACTGAG